TGAGGAGGGCACCTTTTGGGATGAGCACTGGGTGTTGTATGGAAACCAATTTGACAATAAATTTCATATATAAAAAAATAAAAATAAAAAAATATAAAAATAAAAATAAAGGTAGAAAAAAAATAAAAAAAATAAAAAAGAAAAGGAAAAACAATGAAATCCCAAAAGTTTGACAGTTTTGTCCACTTAAAAAACTTACCATGTCAATAGATAGGAGCAAAGAAACTAAAAATAATGAAAAATGGAGACGTATTCACAACCTATATGTCAAATGTTGACTTAATATCCTTGGTAGAAAAAGATCTCAAAGGAGGATCACCAAATTGAAGTCATCTAAGGAAAAATTGACATAGGATACAATGGGCAATTCCCAAAGGACTATATACAAATGACCAACAGACATGTGAAAATACTCAACCTCACCTCTGATCAAGGAAATTCCAAGTACACAGCAGTGAGATAACTGTTTTCCACTGATCAAATTAGCAAAGATTAAAAATACCCTGTTCTGGCAAAGGCGTGATGGAGAAAGCATGCTTTCACCTAGCTGATGGGAATATACACTATAAGACCTTCTCGGAAAATAGTTTGGCAGTATGTATCATGAGCCCTAGACATTCTCCTGTGTTTTGTGTCAGAAATTCCACTTCTGGAGAATCTAGGCCATAAATAATCTAAGTATGGAGAGGGCTTCATGCATAAGATGTTTGCTGAGGCTTTAGATACAATAGCAAAACCAGGTTGTTCCAGCTGCAGCTTGCAGTGGACAGAAAAGCCCCATCACTTCCCATCTCTAACAGCTCACAAGGGTGTAAGGATCAAATTGTTTCACTGCTCGATTATGTTTTCATTTTTGTCAGTCCACCAGCCAGTGGCAGACCAATTTTCCAAATTAAAGTGATGGGCCTATTTTTCACATTTAGATGTTTTGGAGGGTCATATTACCTCTCAATAAAGATGATTAGATATTTGAGGGAGAATTAAATAGTTGAATGAAGGGAAATTTTTTCGGGGAAAGCTAACATCGATTTGGTAGTTATTTGAACCAAAGATGGAGAGCTGAATTGATGTGTTCTGCTGTGTAGAGAAAGAGAAAGAAAGCTTATGTGGGGAAATTGGAGGGTGATTTGAAACATTTCACAAAAATTACTGAAATGTCAGAGTAAAAATGTCAACCCTGACCTGTAATGGGCCTAGCAACTGAAACAGCCTGGGGTGCCTGGGTGGCTCAGTTGGTGAAGCGACAGACTCTTGTTTTGTCTCAGGTCATGATCTCACTATTTTGTGCATTTGACCCCCCACTTTGGACTCTGCGCTGAGCCGTGAAGCCTGCTTGGGATTCTCTCTGCCTCCCTCTGCCCCTCCCCCACTCACGCTGTCTCTGTTTGTCTCAAAAATAAACATTAAAAAAAAAAAAAAAAGGAAAGGAAAGAAAGAAACTGAGACAGCCTGAAGATTAAACCCGCTTGGCAAGTGAATAATCAAGCTGCTTTGAACTCTCCCTGCTCCCTGGCTATGTATCTGTGAGAGCAGGAACCTGCTCCATTTTAGCTCATTTGCCTATCACCTCCTCCACAAGATTCTCATCCCCAAGGAAGAAGGCCCTCCTTGTATTGGAGCTTTACAACCTCACCCCTTAGCACACAGTATGGCACACCCACTTGCTAAATGAGTAAGTTGGCATTTTATCGGTCCTTTGAAAGATAACTTTCCAGAGCGTTATTTAATATGAAGGTTTTCTTTCAACTAGGATTACCAAACCAATAACAATGACCAGGCAGTGGTTGAAATCTGTATCACGCGAATCACAACAGCTATCAGAGAGACAGAGTCCATTGAAAAGCATGCCAAGGCCCTTGTGGGGCTCTGGGACTCCTGCTTGGAACACAACCTGAGACCCTCTGGGAAAGACGAAGACACTCCGCATGCAAAAATTGCTTCTGATATCATGAGTTGCATTTTACAGGTATGTCAGTGCTAAACATCACGCTATTTGATACTGGCTTTGCAACGGAGGTGAACACGTGGTGTCTCTGAACCAAGAGCTAATGTTTCCCTAGCCTTTAGATACCGTAAAAAGATACCGCAAGCCATTATTGCTGAGCCCAACAAGGTTCTAGACAGCTTCTGCCGTCTCAAGACACACTGTGGGGAATTCAAAGTAATACCACAGCAAGCTCCAATCTATTTAGATAGATAAGACGTGTGCATATAAAAACCTAACGTTAGTATATGCCAAGATTTAAATAACCAATTCTGGAAAATTCAGGAAAAAAAAAGACCTCTTTCATCTAAGAACAGAGAGGGGGTGGAGTCTGAACTTGGGGCAATGAGCTTGGAATATGTGGAGAGAAGTGACTAAACCATTTTTAAGTGTGCTTCTACATGTGTTGTGAGTTTTCCACGATAATAATGTTTGCCTATTCTAACTGCGCCTGGCTGGCTCAGTAGGTAGAGCATGTGACTCTTGATCTCAGGGCCATGAGTTCAAGGCCCATGTTGGCTATGAAGCCTACTTAAAAAACATTCCTTCCTCTGGTGAAAATACGAATTTGTAATTTTGGCTTACGCACAGAACAATTATGTAAGATTGAAATAGTAGGGAAGTCATTTAACTTCCTAAGCCACAGTTTCCTACCTATAAAATGCAGATGAAATTGACATTGTCTATGACAAATTTTACCAACCAGTAAATGTTGGTGATGTTGATAGGTATTTCTTGAAAGAGAATTCTGTGGCCAAATAAGTTTGGAAACACTGAATTCAATTTTTCCCTCGTGGGCTGTCATAATGTTTCATAGCATATTAAAGGCTCTGAAAAGTCCCGCAATTAAGAAAGCTGGTTAATTTTGTTCAGTACAGTGTTCTTCAATCTGAATTGCTTATGGAACTTCTTTTCCCCTCCCTACCCTCAATACGACATCTATGAATATCTCTCAGAACTATGGTTTCTGAGCATAGTTTAGGAAATTCTGGTTATGTGGAAATGTTTAGCACTGTGTGTAGCAGTTAATATTAGCTTCCTTTCTTCTTCTCATCCCCCCCTCCTCCTCCTTCTCCTACTCCTCCCTCTTCCCTCTTCCCTCCTCCCTCCCTCCTCCTCTTCACAGTTGTCTGTACTTAACTGGAACATATTCCATTTTGTCTGTCTAGTCCAGACACTGTTCAACTGAACAAAAGACTACACACAGTATCACCCTGTTTTTCCTTTATCCCCAGGGCTAGGGATGGGAGGGGAGGGAATGGGGATTTCAGCAAAATTAATGAAAGATGAATACTGCTTGGATATAACAACTAAGACTGTTCGTCACTGATTATCTTAGATACGTTATCGACATTCATCAGAAACAGTTTATTTTAGTCCAAAGTGCCATTCCACAGACATTCAGACAGAAATTCAGAAATCATCCATACTCTCCAGCTCCCACTGTCATTTCAAAACCATTGGTCTGGATTCTAGAGTGGCACTATCCAACAGAAATGGAATGTAAGCTACAAACATAGGCCGTATATATAATTTCAAACTTTCTAGTAGCCGCATGAAAAAGAAAAGAAACCGATGAAATTTATTTGATAATATTTTTCCTTAACCCAATATATCCAAATATTATTTCAGCACATAATCAATATGAAAATCAATGATATATTTTACTTATTTGTATACCAGGTCTTACAAATCTGGTGTGTGCTTTAGCACATATTACTTTGGGGCAGTCACATTTCAGGTGCTCAGTAGCCTCACGGGGGCCGTGGCTCCTGTGTCAGCACAGTTCTAGAGAGTCAGGAAGCCTTTCTGGATGGAGACCACATTTGGAAAGGGTTGTGAGTACTACCAGAATTTTCACCAGGTAAGAAAGGCAGAGCAAGAGCACATGTCAAGCAGACAAAACATTCCAAGCTTGTGCAAAAGTCCAGGTTTGTGAAATGAGATCAGGGTCGAAGATTTATAAGCAGGCTGCCCTCCAAAATGCCCCAAATTTAAACATAAAGGGATGTTTCATCCTGGGAAAGGCATTATGTCCCCTATTTAAAAAGGGGTTGGAGGTGTGGAGCAAATAAGAATGTTCAACTTAATGCTGATCAGTGACTCCAAGGAGATGACTCCGTAAGACTGTTGAGAGCAGGGCCCTGAGCACAAGCACTATTATGGAAAGGGACAGAGAACAAAGCTAAGGGATCAGCCTCTTGGTCGAGAGGGACAAGGGTCACAGAGATGGGCAACTCCAGCCTACTGTGTGCCCTCAGAGGAGGCAGAAGGGATTAAAATGGAAGGCAGGGAGCCCTGAAGACCAACTTGCTTTTTGGCAAAGTTCAGTGATTTCAGTGGATGTGGTTCCAGAAAGCCAACCCCAGGAACCAAAGGCAAGGCTGTGGTTGCAGCTTTGCCATTTTGCTTTGATCAAATTTCAAGGGGACATTTTTGGCCTGTGGTAAATATTGAAAATACGACTTGGTACTACATGTAATTTAGGTTCTTGTGGGAACCATGGAGAAATCCAGATGACTCATATTCTGTTCTGTTTTTTCAGTAAAATAAAACAGTAGATCAACTTTAAAGCCAACCACTTAGCATTCTGAGCTTGCACAAAACCCCCCCAAAAAACCAACAAAACAACCAAGAGTGAGCCCTTCTCCACCCATCCACCTCCCCAGATAAGCAATCCCAGAATCACACTATCAGGCAAGACCTACCAGTTCTTCCCACATCCTGGGCCATTTTACTCAATTTTTTTCTGGCCATTTCACTGTAATTTCAAGCTAAATATTTTCACATACACAGAAACCTTCTGTCTTTTTTTCCCCCAAATCCCTTTTTTAACCTATACTCCAAACCTACTTCAGGTGACTCATTCCTATTCTACTTTTAATTAGTAATTATATATTTAATTCTTTCTCTTTTTGGCCCCTAAATTTATGAACTTGATACATTTACCTTAAAACAATTTTTTAAATTCCAGTATTCATCTTCTGTACATTCCTCAATACAAAATCAGTCCATGTGTGTGACTGCATTTGCCTTTGGTGAAATGCTTTTGCCAACCTACCCCATGTCTTTAAACAAGTCTTATAACCTGTCATTTATAAAACAAAGGATGAACCAACTGATTTCTCAGCTCACCTCCTGGTCTGAAATTCTGACTCCTGTAGAAGATGCTGAGAGGTAAAATAGGAAAGAGCTTTGGACCTTGAGGGCCTTAGAGTCAAATACTCTTGGTCTTATATAAATGAGAGTTTGGAAAGTTATTTTCTCTCTCTAAGCCTCTGTTCTGCTATCTGTAAAATGGGCATAACAATATGTGCTGCTCATGAGAACCATCTTTTATTATAAAAGCAATCTCTATTTGTGGTCCAGCCACTGTCCAGAAGAACCTATGTCAAACCACAGCTTCCTCTGACTAGGATGCTATGTGGAGCTGGCCAATGCCTATTTCTTTGCTTCTAGAAAAATACTGAAAGGGAGGGTACCCCCTATAAGGCACGATGCTTTCTAGGATAAATTCGATCCTGGAGACTGATGAAGAAAATGAAAACGTACCTCAAGAAGGCTGTAATTATTGACATAGCTGATGTGCTAGAATGATGTTCTAGCTTGAATTGACAGGCCAACTGTTCTGAGGTTGAGAGCCAATACCTGGTTTTACCAGTTACAGCAGTATCTTCCCCAACCAAACTGCTTATGGGGCTGTTGCCAAGTAAGCTCAGCATTTTATCTCTTCCTCCATGTATGCTCACACTATTGATGACTGTATAAAGAAGGAGACTGTATAAAGAAGGAGACTGTATAACTGCAGGGGGTTGTCTGGGGGGCAGGAGGGAGGAATAGAAAAAATCCTGAAATTCACTGTTTGAAATCAGAAGGTCTTTTTTTTCCTTTCCTTTCTTTCTTTTTTTTTTTTAAGATGAACCAACTGTCCATTCACCTTGATTCCACACTTCAGTATTCTTATTTCCCCTTGAGTTAATGCTATATGATGATTCAAAGCCTCTCCCTGGCTGGCATTGCCAGCAAAGTGACTTAGACATTTTTGAGAGCAATTCCATTGCACCTCTTAGAGGCAGAATTGGTTGTCTTGATCTAGAAGTTTATTTAGTAGGCAACCCCAGCTTTACCATTTACTTGCAGTGTGATTTGGGCAATTTTATCTTTCTGTGCCTTAATTTCCTCATCTGTAAAATGCTGTAGCTGCCTTATGAGTTTGTTGTAAGAATTAGATAGTCGTTAAACAATAGACATAAAATATTTGGAACACAGGAAATGCTACATGAGTATTAATTCTGATTGGCATTAGCATTATCTGTAGAAAACTGTAAAATAACACTCAACACTTTCGAACAAGCTATTCATTTAATTATTTATTTTAGTCATTGTTCATTGCTTGTCTCCCCCTCCCCAAAATAGAAGCTCTGTTTTATTGATGAAGTCCCAGCACCTAGAATTGTGAATGGTAAGCATATAGTAAGTGCTCAAAATAGTATTTATTGAATGAGTGAATGAATGAATGAATGAATGAAGTACTGAATAGATCAGGAGATGTGACTGCTCTATGCTTTTCTCCAGAATGGGTCTCAGTACTTATTCATCAGTTAATGCCACACAAGACAGTGACAAAAAAAAAAGGGGGGGGGGGAGGAGACTGGGATATAATCTCCCAGGTTACTGAGACCCAATCCTTTATTACCCGTCTGAAAATACACTGGGAAAATATAGGTGTATGTTCCATTTAGATTTTATATATAGCCATGCTGCTAAGAACCAAGCGTTTTAGATATAAATCCAAAATTCGCTTGATTTTCTGGTCAATGATGCAGGATGAAAAACCATGAAACAGTGATTTTAATAAATGACACTTAATATTTCTTGAGATTACTCTTTTATGGCTTTCGGTTGAATTCAAAGCCCAAGAGCCAAAGAGCTTTTTAGTTGCTATCATCTCAGATAGATATCTCTTTTACTTAGCTTTATTCTTTTCAATTTTAAAACTCTGGGACATGTTCCCAAAGTGCATGTTTTCAAAAAGAAAACCTCCGCCAATAGCTCAAATTGGTGCTAATCTAGTTAAGAAATACAATTCTTGGCATCCATAGAACAAAGACCTTTTGTTTTGCTTCTACAGCTAAAAATAACTGTCCCCCTGAGCAAGTCTTTATATCTACCCTGTACTTCACTGAATTTGTTCTCTGAGTACTGAGCACTGAATTGTGTGTAAGATGATATGCATACCAACATCTCACGTCTACACTGAAGGGCAAGGTCCATCATAAGCCCCAGCATTAATAGCTGCTGTTAAAGTGGTTTATTTGTACAGTGACCATAGGGCTTTCTCTGTGTGTGTACCATTGGCATTTCTGTGATCTAAATACTGCCAAAGATAAAATAAGTTCATGTGCCTGAGATCTACTGCATTAGCAACTCCTTTTGCTTCACTTGTAAGTGAAGCCCAGCCATTAGAAGGAGGTTGTATGGTACCTGTTAGGGCCCTTGGCACCTGGTGTCTTTCTAGCCTCATCTTGACCTCCCAGGCTCTCACTGACATCCTGTTTCTGTCAGCAGTGTCCATGGCTTCTGGACACACTAGCAATGGTCTAGACACTATTTAGAGATTGACAGCCTTTGGTAGGAATTCCTTGTTCCTACAAATAATTTGCTCTTTGCTTAATGTTTTACTTCTCCTGTCATTTGAAAAATTTCTGGATGACATATGTGGGAGGAAAACAAAAAAGTTGAGTATGTTAAAGTTTTTTTTAAATTTTTTAAATGTTTATTTATTTTTGAGAGAGAGAGAGAGAGAGCACGCATGAGCAGGGGAGGGGCAGAGCGAGAGGGAGACACATAATCCGAAGCAGCCTCCAGGATATGCGCTGTCAGCTCAGAGCCCAATGCAGGGCTCAAACTCATGAACCGTGAGATCATGACCTGAGCTGAAGTTGGACACTTAACTGACTGAGCCACCCAAGCACCCCAAAGTTTTGTTTTCTTTTAATAATGACATTATTTACCTGTAAAAACATTTATACATTTCACCTATAACCACACTTCAAAGACTTTAATAGCTGCCCACTACTTTTCTCTAGAACATTTAGAATTGTTTTAAGAAGAATTTGATCGAATTGGTTAAGACAGCCTGTTCTTTCATGGTTGCTGGCAAATATTGGCTCACCCCAGGGTTTAAAAACCTCAGTTGCTGCGAATACTGATTTTCATTGATCTTGTACCATCTGTGTTCATGATTAGTGGGGAACACAAGTTGTACTTCCAAATGCGACCATCTGTGCTTTCTAAGTAAGTTACAGGTAAATGTGCTTGAAGACATATTCCTCTAATGGAAGACGTGTACTTTTCTAGCTGCAAGTTGTTCTTGGCTGAAGATTCAGAGTAGGTAAAGTAAACCTGGACATGAAGTTTTTTGTTGGAAAGCTCTGAGAACAACTGTGTGATTGCATTCCACTCTCAAAACTGGGGGTTTGATCAACCATGACAGGGACAAAGATTTGTCATCTAAAAGCTAAACTAGCAAAAATCTACACATAATGGAAAGACTGGCTGTCTGTGGGGGCAACCCCAAACATTGTACAGGTGAGACAATGTTTTGGAAAATACCAAATACTGTGATTGAGGTAACTTGAATGTAACCTCAAGGGAACAGTGATAGAATAAGATTATAATGGAGAAGATGGACAAATCAGTCAGCCTCCCTAACACAACCACTTCCTAAATTACATACTCTGAAGAGTACGTCAACACAAAGAGGATGTTCAGTGGGGGGGGGGGGGGGGGGGGGGTCATTATTATGGTACAATTACTCAGCACTGTGTGTGTGTGTGTGTGTGTGTTGGGGGGAGGGGTGGAGACTGACTCTGATGGACAGGAAAGTTCCAGTTAGTCACCAGAGATGGGGATTTGGTTATAGAGAAGGAATGTTATTTTAGTCAGGTTTCATCATGGCCTGGATGACATAACCCTCAGGATCTCTCTTTGCTTTTATCTGATTTTGTGCCTATCTGTGAACATTCTGGTTAGTAATCTGGTTCCTGATATCCTGATAATGTGAAAGAGTCTGACCCAGGAAAGACCCTCACTGTAGATGAGTAAACTGGCATGCTGGATTATGCACTGGGCTTTTAGAAATCCTTTGGTGTGAGTTAGCATCAGTGGATCCAAACAATTCTGTCTGGCCTGACTAAACACACATCCAGACTTCTAAAGCTGAAAGGCAGGTTGCAGCCAGCCTCCCAGGGAGACCTCACAGCTCATCACATCAGTAATGGCCCAGTCCAATCAGGCCCAATTAAATTCACCAGGAGAGGAAATACTCTAGATAAAGTCAAAGCCTGCTATCAGAGAAGTCTGGCTGCAAGCCATGGTACTAATAGACGTGTTAGGAACTCTAAGAAGGATAGGACAGAAACCTAGTGAGTGGAACTGCTATAGAAGCACATGATTTGTCACAAAGGGATAAGGTCAGAGCTTTCAACATGGCTGACTTAACTGTGGGGTTATCAGGTTAGGGTTTTGAATACTTACCTTCTCTGCTCAGTAGTCAGATTGACTCTTCAATCTGGAAAACGGGTGCAACTACAGGAATGAATTAAGGATTTATAAGTCTATTTCTTGTTTCTAGGGACTGGGAGGGAAAAAAGCTTAAGTACTAAAGAGATAATTGTCTCAGAAATATTTGGGGCTAGTATTGGCCTCAGGCACAGCCTAATGCATAGGGCCCAAATGATGTCACCAGGACATTTTTTTCCCTCAGTTTGTCTCTCAGATCCATGCTGCCTTGAATCGCAGACAGATTCTCTCCTACTGAGGTCAAACCTGGCAGCAGCTACTCTTGGTCTTCCATTCTCGGCACTTTTGATTCAGTAGAAGAGAGAATCTCTTGCACAGAGCCCTTTTAATGACTCCTTAATTGTAATTGGGTAATTTGCCCATTATTGAACCTACTATTTGGACTAAGGAGATGTGATTCTCTGATTGGTCAATGTCTGAGTCATTTGACAACCTTTGAAGCCAAGAGGGCAAATGCCCTCATTAGAAAGAAGTAGCATGTGGCCTTGGCCATGGAAATAGGAATCTGTTAAGGAGTGTGTAACAACTCAGCTGCCCAATCAACTAGTCCTAAAAATGGATGGCATTGGAGGTTTGAGCCTATACTCAGCCATTGCTAACAGCAACATGAGCAAGACAGATGGGAGCAAAAGGGCCCCCTACCTCCATGCCTTCCTTCCTGTCACATTATGTTTCTGATGACAACTATCACAATAGGTTTATATATTCTTCGTTAGTTATTCAATTTCTCAGATGTTTGTTGAACACCTACCATAAACCCAGAATTGTGGGATATATTAGAGGGAGTAATCCACAAGTGGCAAGATATAAGCACTGTTCACATGAATAGACTTAAAAAAAACACCTTTTATTTCTAATATAATAATATGAAGTCAAATGCAGTGTGTGCAGTGTGCAACATTTGCCTTGTAATTAGGCTAAAGGATGGGGTTGATGATCAGAATAGCTAATGGTAATGAAGACAAACCATCCACTTTTAAGAAAATGCTTTGTATGTTTTAACTATTATTCCCTCATAGGCAATTAAATGCAGATAGCACTATTTAATGTATAAGGACATTGATGGTCAATCACGAAGTATATGAAAAAGAGAATTGTTTTAGGACCCAGAATTTCTTTCATTTTTAGTCTCATGTTCGTTCACTTTTTTTCTTCTGAATCTCACTGGCTGAAACTTTAGTTTTTAAGATGAAGTCAAAAAAGTGACTTGTTCAACATTGCTTGGGTTGTTTTCTCAAGTATAAATCTGATGAGTTATTTTTGTCATCAGTGACTCTTGATCAATTTCAAACTCCTTGGCATGGAATGCCAAACCTTTCCTAATCATGTCCCTTTTACTCTTCCAGTTCCTGTGCTCACCTCCCTACCCCAACCTTCCCACATGGCCCACACTCCCACCGCAGTGAGCTATTCACAGTTTCCAAAGGTACATGTTCTCCCTCACCTCTGTGCCTCCACAGGTGCTTTTCCTCTGTTCATTCCTTTCCTTGCCATCACCCAGCCATCTCCTGTTCATCCACCAGGTCCAGCTATGACACCACTCCCTCCAGAAAGTCTTGGCACCGTCCAAGACTGGGTTAGGTGTTCCTCCTTTGTTCCCTCAGTATTCTGAACTTTGCCTGTCAGTGCCCCCATCAGCGTACGGTGTTAGCTGCCTGTTTGCCTCCAAGTCTCCCTAATAAGGACAAGAATTCCCAGAGGCCCAAATACAATGAAAACAGGGTGGGGTCTGTGTTTTCACAGCTGCACTCTGGAGATTAGCTCAATAAATATTTTTTTGGATGAATGAATAAATGAATGAATAATGAGCCACTTATTATTTGTTACTTTCTTATGTTTCCTCAGAATTACAACCGGCCCCCTGTGATGGCGTTAGCCATCCCCATAGCAGTGAAATTCCTCCACAGAGGCAACAAGGAACTGTGCAGGAATATGTCCAACTACCTGTCCCTGGCTGCAATCACCAAGGCAGATCTTCTGGCTGATCACACAGACGTTATAGTAAAGAGCATACTCCAAGGTACGGTGCAAAGGCTGAGTGTGGGGATGTTTTTCTAGGAGTGATTTGAAAATATTTTCATGAAGCAGTAATGGATTGTGGAAGGGAGACCTAGAGTATTGAGAGGTACGTTAGATTCTCTGCTTTGCCACTAGCTGGTTGGTGAATGGGGGTGAGATTTCTTGGGCTGGTTGAGCCTGTGTCTCTTCACTGGGCAGATGAATTATTTTGACTCATAGAGGAGTTGTAAGCTCTCTCTCTTCTAACTCTACATTTCTCAGTTTGGGGAATGGTGTTTTCCATGCTTCTGGTCACCTTGTCCAGCTACCAGTTGTGGAGAACCTACTTGTCTGCATTGAGTGGAACATAACCCACTGTTCTCAGTGGCAGATGGACAACCTCTCCTGCCTTTGGTTTCCAAAAGCAAGGGATGTTAGGTAAAATATACCAGAGAACATGTGAAGACTTCTTCAATTGTGAACATGACTTGGGACTGATGTGTAACTGTGTTAAATACTACCATAAAGAAATCAAATCAGGACATCTCTGTTAATTGTTTCATATTTGAATGAAAGAGATCAAGTTAGTCCAGTCAAATTATTCTCTTTTCTTAAGTTTTTCCTTTGGTTTCAGATCTGTCAGAAACCATGGTTTTTCGGTATCTTTGATTTGGGATCAGAGACAATATATGGTATTATCTGATATGCACCCAATTCCCCCAGTTCTCATTAATAATAATCAAAGGTCTATGCGTATCTTGGCCCACATTCTACTGCCACATACTCCAAGTGCTCAGGTTGAGCATCAACCCTCTGTAAAGTCCACTCAGACCAAGTGTTTCTTAGAGTCTCCATGCTCCACAAATGCTCCCTTTCTGAGGTATCCAGACCAATTCATAAGCCCACGTTGTTACTCTCCCTATGCTTCCTGGCCCAGCATGCTATGGTGGTGTCCACTTCTACTACCCCGAGCCCAGCAAACTCTGTGGCTGCTACCATGGAGGTTCCAGGAACTGATTTCACTGCATACTGCCTTGTCAAGGATGGCAGCCTCTGTTCCTTTGTGCCGCTCCCCCTGAAGCTTCAGGAGCCAACCCCCACTTCACTAATTTCATGTGGCAGCCTATGGCAGGATGGGGAAGAACACCTGTCTCTCTCCTTGGTGTTACACTTTGATAAAGAGGCCCCAAAGCGGGGTTGCTTAGCTCCCAGTACCAAACTGTTCCCAAGTTTGCAGTAAAATGTATCCTTCCGTTCTGTCTAAAAACTTTCTCTCTCATGCCTGGGCTCAACTATCCAGCCAAGAATCAAGCTAGCAAGAAATTAATCAAAAAGTTTTCAAAATGACTGTGGCCCACCAAGGACAAAGGCTTTTTTCATTGTACCAGACATTCCTAAGAAGAGTTCATAGCACGAACCCTCGACATCTGACCAGCCACCTCAGATGCCCAGATATGTCTGAAGCCCAGCCTTGACAGTGGAGATTCATCACTTTACCTGTGTTTCCCTCTAAAGATTTGTCATTGATGTTACTAGGCAGTATCATTAATTTCTCATTTTCTTTGGCTACAGGATTGAATTGCTAATTTAACTTTTAATCATGATGCTAAAGTTTCTAAAAGTCCAGAAAAGCAGTTATGCCTTTTTCACCACCTTGACTACATATTTGAAAGAGATTTTATATGATATTAAAAAACGCTTCTACACACCACACATTTTAAAACCATGGTAGTTGACTTGCAAGTAACAGATTTATTGAAAAAAAAAATGAATTGTTTCTTTGCAGCTGCCAAGAGCTTAGCTCATGTTTTTTTTCTTTTTTTTGTTTTTTTTTCTTTTTTTGAATTGCACTTTTAATAACAAAGAACTCTTTTGAAACACAAATACACTTTTTGAATTCATTGCAAGCATTTGAAATAAACAAACGATTTGGTTTATTCGATGTGACACTATAAAAATTACCATAAAAGACATGATAATTTGACCTATAAGAAGTTGGGGCTACATATTTCAGGGTTTAGATTTTTAAGACTAATGTGTCTGTATAACTCCACAGCCATTCACATGAGCCCATCAAACTTAAAGCTGCAGGGTAGAGAGGATCTTGCTGTCTCTGAGTAAGTTTCTGTTCTGCATATCTTTGTCATATATACCCTACAATCAGCCCTAGGAGACATCATTTGGATTTCTGTTTTCCTTACCTACAGTTTTCTTCCCTTTAGATCTTCTTCCTTGATTTATATTATCCTAATCTGTACTCTCCCACTTTTCAATGTCTACAGAGGTTGTTATCTACTCAGTAATAACAATAATGATTATGACAATTATAACTACAATGGCTAAAATTTATTTCATGCTCTCTTTATGCCAAATAATGTATTAAGCACTTTATATGGATTATATCGTTTAATCCTCACAAGAATTCCATAACAAAAATCCTATTACTATCCCATTTTACCAATTAGTAGTATTTTAAGTGATAGAAACACCAGGTATGAATAGCTTGGTGATGAGGAGGAGGATAGTGATAATGAAGAAGAGGAAGAAAAGACAAAGGAGGGGAGGAGAAGGAGGAAGAACTTATCAGAACACATGACTGAAAAGTACATAAATACATCAGACTTCCCATATGACTTGATTCAGGGCTCAGTGGTGGTACCAAAAGTCATTACTCAACTCTGCTTCCTTTGGATTAGGTTCACTTTCTTTCTTCTCTCTACTTGTTTTTTGTTTTTGTTTTTTGTTTTTTGTTTGTTTTGTTTTGTTTTGTTTTTTGAGACAGAGAGAGATTTGGGGGAAGGGTGGAGGGAGAAAGATAATCTTAAGCAGACTCAACACCCAGTGCTGGGTTCAATCTCATGACAGTAAGATCATGACCTAAGCTGGAAATCAAGAGTCAGATACTTAACTGACTGAGCCACCCAGGTGCCCCTGGATTGGTTTCATTTTCATGATCCATGTTATGGGTTCTGCAGCTTCCAGTTTACATCATCAAGAATACCAATTAAGCAAAAAATCTCCATACCCAGTCTCATTGTCTCTGCTTGACCTAACATGGGCCATATGCCTATTTCTGAACCAATCCATGCTTGTTCCTGGGAGCACAGTCTTTCAGTTGGCCGGGCTTGGGTAATGAACCCCCTCAAAGCAGGAAAGGGGGTCAACTACAGCAGAACTACATGGATGGGATGCAGATCACTGCTCCCCAAATCCAGGGTTATTGCCAGCAATGGTTAAAATGAATACTGGGTACCAACAAACAGCCTTATATACTTAGTTTTAACCTCTTATACTTCCTTTTTTAGAGAATTACCCCATTGCTTTGGCATAACAAGACCTTATTGGATAATGATTCTTTCATCTCAGTGTATCTGTAGTTCTTCTCGGGTTCTTGGCATGTGTAAATTTTATGAACGGAACCATTCTACCTTCATTTTAAAATAGTAAGGAAAAAGTAGACCAGATAGGGCCAGGCAAGACTGGTGGTATACCAGTGGTGACTACTTCTTATACTAAGTTGATATTACTCCACTGATAACATTTTTCAATTGTTTTATACATGTTTGTCCTTAATTCCAAACCAAACGCCTCCTTTATAATTACAAGTCAATCATGAGAGACTGTCAAAGAGCTTGTGTATTTATCCCTGAAGGCCAATATTTCAATATTTCCAAGCCAATTTTTTACTACTTTTCATTATTAATAACTATATATAAGTAATGTTGACTTTTACATTCAATGTAAATATAAATTCATTTTATTTAAATTGCTTAGACTCCATTTGTCTGTTTTATATTCTCTGAATTCTTCCAATGAGAAGGAAATTGTGAAAAATTCTTCCATTTGGAGAAAAAAATTAAAGGCATGAGCAGTATCAGGGTGTCTGGGTGGATCAGTCAGTTAAGCATTGGACTCTAGATTTCAGCTCAGGTCATGATCTCACAGTTTGTGAGTTCAAGCCCCATGTCAGTCTCTGTGCTGACAGTGCAGAGCCTACTTGGGATTCCCTCTCACTCTCTCTCTCTCTCTCTCCCCCCCCTCTCTCCCTGCCTCCTTCTCCCCCCTTCCCCCCCCCCCATGGGCATTCTCTCTAGTTCTCTCAAAATAAATAAATAAACTTAAAAAAGAAAAGGTATGAACAGTATTGCCTTGGTTCATACTTGAGAGGTAAGGTGCTAGAAAACCTGAATATCTCTATAAAAAATAAGACAAATCAGTATTTTTAAATCAACCCCCCAAGAAAATAAAAATAAATTAAAAAACCCTGTTCCTTTAGTTTTACAGTTGTACAATTAGAAAAAATATGCAAGTAATAATACAGTCTTAACTAAGCTTTTTCAGAGAATTAAAAAACATTCTCCAACTAATTCTGTGAGCTGGTGTATATGTGACATAAAAACCAGAAAGGAAAACACAAGAAAGGAAAATACACCCCCATCTTAATTATGAACATAGATGCACAAATCACGAATCACAAATAAAAATGACTCCAGCAATGCTTATGGAAAATAACATTAACATTTGCTGAGTGCTTAATGTGTGCCATTTTCTGGTCTCTTAACTCATATGTCTTAATATTCAAAATGTAATTCTCCACAGTTAAAGACTAAAGAGTCAAAAAGTCATGTGATCAGTAAGACCATCTCATAAAGTTCAGTACCCATGCATGAAAAAAAATTTTTTTGCAAAGTAGGAATTTTGGAGACCTTTCTTCAATTGATTAAGGGGATATTGTATATGTATACAAGAGAATATTATATATACATCTGTATATCCTCTTGTAAAATGCAAAGTCTGTTCATGACAAAAAAAACAAAAAAAAACAAAAAACCTCTCCACAAACTAGCAATAGAAAGGAACACCCTTTGTCTAACAAAGAATATCTACAACAACTAAAATCATACTTAATGGGAAAATATTAAATACTTCCCTTGACTTAAAAAATAAGACAAGGATGTCATTTAGGTAATAAGTTTGTTTTCTGCTTAAATAATATCAGAAGTGGGGATCCTGGGTGGCTCA